CTAAAACATACATTTCAAGGGTCAAAGGTCAGGGTAAAGATCCACTAATCTTGGTGCCAAAGATGGTAGGGAAGAAGGTATTTCAAGTTTTGGGGGATCTGAATTGTTTAGGGTTTTGAACGCTAAGCTGAGCACCTTTAATTGGGCCTGGAACAAGCAGCTGTTTCAAAACACAGGTGTTAAAGGGAACCCCAGCCAGAAATCTGACTGCAGCATTTTGTCAGACGTCAAGGTTGAATAGTTAAAAAGGTATGATAAAGTTAATTTTAAAAATTGCCTTATACAGAGTCAGACAAATTGACCCATCTTGGTACTGCTTACATTGAATGGCAGTGGCTCTCCAGATTTTTCAGGCAGGGGGCATTCCTAGCCCTACTTGGGGAAGCCAGGGATTGAACCAATGTCTTCAAATCTCCCTGCAAACAAATTAGGATGCTCAATGAACAGGTTGGCTGGAATAGACCTTAGCAAGGAAACACCTTGCTGCCAGCAGGGGGCAACCCAAGACTAGTTTGGATGGGACCATCCAACCAAGCTGAGTTTGGGAAGATCTCCACTCCATGCCACAGAGTTCAGGTGCTTCCAGGTGCAAGTTTACAGTCAAGTGTTGGAATAGCAGTGAAAATGGTAGCTGGAAAAATGGTACAGGTACCAATTCCTTACACAGAGTGGGGCTGGGAGGAACAGACCTGAGACAGCACCCCTGCGTAGAAGCAGCCAACTCACACAGCACATAAATTCTGGGGGATTTGCTGCCACAAGGTGCAGTGATGGCTGCAAACTTAGACAACTTTAACAGGAGGTCAGACAAATTCATATAGAATTCAGAAGGGTATCAATGGCTACCAGTCACAATGGCAATGTTTCTTTTACTTATTTATTGCAATTATATCCTACCTTGTCCCTCCAAGGAGCTCAAAGTGGGTCTCCCCCTCCTCCTTTAATCCCCACAACAAAAATCTTGCAAGGTAGGTTAAGCCAAAAGGCAGTGACTAGCTCAAGGCCACCCTGTGAGCTTCATGGCCTGGTGGAAATTTGAATTCTGGTCTCTCCTAGGTCCATGTCCAACACTCTAACCACTGCACCACACTGGCTCAATCTTTTACCTCTTCTATCCGATGTGGCCAGCCAGGGTCAGAAGCAAAAGTGGGCAGAGCAATAGATGTGTACAGTAGGGTACATTCTATTCAACGTTTCTGTACACACACACACCTCTCTATGCAGGCAAGCAAGAGGCATTAACACAGTTCAAGGACACATTCCAGCCAGGTAAGAGCACTTGATATAGGTGAGCAGCAGAGCCAGAGAGTCGCCATGCCCAAAGGCAGGACCCAGAGAGGCCTGGAGGGCTCTATTTGGATACACACCCACCCACCCTGAGCCTGAGATCTCACATGCCTGCTTTATGATGCTGCGTCCCAAGAGCTTCCAAATTTTACAATAATTCGGACCATTTTCTTCACATTTCCTAGCTAGCTGAAGAAGTGAACTATTTTGAGCACCTGCAGAGAGCTAGGCCCTCATCACTGCAGGCTGTACAATTAAATTGGATTTGGTGTTCTTTTGCAACAGACCCATCCTCCACCCCCGGAAAGCAACCTGGAGAGTTTCATAGGGAGGAAAGTCACAGGAAAATGCACCAGACAGACAGTGTGAAATAACAATTGCTTGATGCAACATCTTATACCCTTCCCCACAAATGAGAATGAATACAGTGGTTCCATAGTTTACAAACTTAATCCGTTTCGGAAGTCCGTTCTTAAACCAAAGACATGCTTTCCCATAGCAGCGGGGGACTCAATTTACAAATGGAACACACTCAACAGGAAGCAAAACATGTTCTGCTTCCAACGCAAAGTTCACAAACCAAAACACCTACTTCTGGGTTTGCAGCATTCTTAATCCAAGTTGTTCATAAACTAAGCTGTTCTTAAACCAAGGTACCACTGTACTCAATAAGCAGCCCAATGTTCCCTAACCATCACCCCACAAACAAATCTGGATGAATGCCAAGAAAGCAGCCTTTCTATGGTCTGGATGACGGTTTTGTGTGGACACCCCACAACCATTCTATATTAAATGGTTTGTGTAGGAGCAGCCACAGGGTGCTCCCAGGTGACCTGTTTATTAAGAATTCAATCCTGTTGGTTTTTTTTTTTTGCAGGGAGGTTAGATGACAAAGAAAGTGTTATTCCATATTTTCTATTGCATTTGCTCAATACTTATTTTCTCATCACTCATTACTGCAAAAAGTTTGATCACGGGGGCAAGCAAATTTGTTGGAATGTGATTGAATGCCTACCTGAAGTTAGTCTGTATTTGTGAGCTTCTACTAAAATACATGAGCACAAGAACTGAGGTGCATCATATTTCCCACTAAGATATTTAACAGAGTGTCTGAAAGCTGAAAAACAATGGTGCTTGTAACAAGACAAAAAGGGAGACAGGGATTTTCCAGAAACCTGGATCAGAAAATAGGAGCTGTACCAAGTAAAGAGTGGCAGTTGAAGTGTGTGTGTGTGTGTGTGTGTGTGTGTGTGTGTGTGTGAGAGAGAGAGAGAGAGAGAGAGAGAGAGAGAGAGAGAGAGAGAGACTGACTGAATAGAGCACTTCCAGGTGTGGGTTTATTGTGAGATGGGTGCTCCTCACGCAGGCAATGATTGATTGATTGGCCTGCATAGCCCACCTTTTTCTCCTAGGAGCTCAAGGTGGTGTACAGAGTTCTTTCCCTCTTCATTTAATCCCTACAACAATCCTATGAGGTAGGTTAGGTTGAGAGGCAGGGACTGGCCCATGGTCACCCAGGCAGCTTCACGTGGCCGAGTGGGGATTTGAACCCTGGTCTCCCAGCTCCTACTCTGATACTCTAACCACCAGCTCTCAGCATCCACAGGACCTAATTAGTATCAAAACACCATCTTGTATTTCTACCCCACCCCGAATTTATTCCAGATCTACCCTTTCAGTTACAAAAAAACCCACCCTGTGTTGCCCACAATGCATTTGCAATATCTGCTGCCTTCTGGAGCAACCAGTAGAAGCCTGGGATATGCTCAGCCCTGCTTAAAGACCACCTTTTCCTGAGTGAGGTCAGCTTCTGGCTTGAACAAGCACCTGACATAGTTTTCCACTCAGGGTCAAGCCCTAGCACCACCCTTGCGATAAATTCAGTCTCCCCCACCCTTGCCAGCCTAGCTGTTTTAAGCTCTTAAAAGAGTACAAAGGCTCCCTGAACATGGAACTAGCTAGAACCTCAGAGCCTAAACTCTCCTACAGAAACAGTGTGACAGATATGCAGCCCCAGAAGCCAAGGCTTTGTCCAGACACCATAGATCAGGAAGGGCTATTTTCCAAGACAGGCTGCTGAGAGGGAGAGATAAAAGGGGAACAAAAGCAGCAGAGACTGATGGGAAGACCAAAAAAGGACACATGACTTCAGAAAAAGAAGCTGGGCATCACTTGCAGAATCTGAAAGACTATTCCCACAAATGAGATTTTTCAGGGGAGCCCTTCTCTCAGCCTCATCACCCTCAGAGGCATGCTTGGTGGAATAACAGGAGAGGGCCTTCTCAGCAGCTGCTCCTAAGCTTTCAAACTCCCTTCCTACAGAAGTTAGACTGGCTCGAATCCGAGACCAGGGAGAAGAGTCGGTGGAAGAAGATTGGAAGAAATTTAAAGACTATTTACAGAAATATTGCAAAATTAATGAATGTTAGAATGATGTTGGATTGAAGTTAAGTGGTTTCTAGCGGTATAGGTACAAAAGAATATGGAAAAATTGGTTTTTAATATGTAAAAATTTAATGTTATAATATCAAGATTAAAGATCAGGACTAAAAAGGAGGGAAAGGAATTGTTGGATTAACAAATTGAATTGGAATACAAAAGAGGGAGGTATGAGGAGGTCCGGGAAACAAGTAAACGTAAAAGAAGTGAAGAAAAGATGGAATTGTTTTTAACTGTTTTTTCTTTTTTCTACTTTGTATTTTTCCTTTTTATTGTTAATTTTTTTCCCTTTTTTATTAATGTGATTTTTCTTCTTTTGAAACTTTAATAAATATTATTTTTTTAAAAAAAAGAAGTTAGACTGGCTCTTTCTTTGTTTTCCTTCTGCCAGCAGGTGAAGACTTTCCTGTTCCAACAGGTTCTTGGAAATGGACTGTTTTTAAGGAAAGGGCTGGTGCTGTGATGTTTTTTATTGCAATTATCTGATAGTTCTTATATGTAGTTTTAAGTTTACCCATGTTTAATTGTTGTTTAATTATTGTGGTCCCCCCCCCCACTGGTCTCTATTTTATCTGAAAGCCGCCTTGAGTCCCTGTCAGAGGAAAAGGTGAGATATAAATAAATAAATAACTATCATCATCATCATCTACCCTCTTGAAAGGACACTAGGATCGCTTCCACATTACCTGTTTACCCAGCTTTCTTTCTGATTTATTTGCAGGGTGGTTATACTCAGATGATTACATGGGTTGCTCACTGAGCATCCATCCTGATTTGTTTGCAGGGAAGTTATATGACTGTCGCATCAAGTAATTGCTAACACACTTTCCTGTGCATCTCCCCATTACATTTCTTACCGCAAAAAGTCTAATTTTGTATGGGAGTGGCAGGTTTATGGTCTGCGGGGCCCTATGTGCATTCCTTTCTGGGGTTGCCTTTCCCTGTCAGAGTACCTGGAGGCAAATTCCCCTTCACCACAAACAGACAGATGAATGACCAATTACATTTCTAATATTACTATGGTTTACCTTCGCTGATCAAAATCCGGGTCATCCTCAAGCACTTTCCCTGGCTCCCAGCTGTGTCTCCGGAAGGAGTCGTAGGCATGACCAGAACTCCCAAGGATGCCCAACCTGCGCATGTTAACACCCAGGAATCGATCTTCCTCCTCCTCCTCCTCCTCTTCCTCTTCCATCTCTTCCCAGCCTCCTGCGGGAGGCTCCACAGCTGACAAGCAGCGGCGCTTCTGGACCCGTGAAGGGCAAGGGGTGCATTCACAGGGGCTCAGGACCAGCTCGGAGGCAGAACTGCTCATTCCCCAAGGAGCTCGTGGATCCAAAAGGCAGAAAGGCTTTGCGGAATGAAAAGGGGGGCTGGAGAAAGAGGGTGCTGATGTTAAAAAAAGAGCATAGCCCAGCTTGCAAAAACCATCACATATTTTTATTACCCTTGTACATACTCTTGTATCAGTTTACCTGCAAAATCCACTCAACCACTTCTATCTATGGAACTGGCACTGTTACAGGCGCTACATAATACCTGTTCTGCATTGGTGAGAAATTGGGCTTTCTTTTCAGTGTGGCGGCACTCACACTTTGGAACTCCCTGCCATTTGACATCAGGCAGGCGTCTTCACTGTATTGTCATGGTGCTTTCTTAAGGTTTTAAAGAGTTGTTTTTAGCTGTTTTTAGCACCAATAATTTTATCGTTTTAGTCTTTCGTAAACTGCTTTGAGGGTTGTTGTTTTATTTTTTACCATCAAGGAGTGTGTATGTGTTACTCATTTATTTCACTTGGGTCCTGAAATACTAAATGGAAAGATCCAACTCTGTAAAGATGCCCTGCCTGATGACTCTCTCACAAGCCCCTTATTCAGGCAGAATCAATATATGCAGGTGGGGGGGTGCCAGGATCATGCCCGCTGACCCTACTCACATCAACAGGCTCATACCTATGTAGGCAGCGGCACAGTTCAGGAAACCCAGCCATCGTGGAAAGACAGGGCCAATGGGCACAAACCCAATCTCACTCCCTTGTCTGGACAGGGCCGTACACACCTATTTGCAGGCCTGCCTGAGGCCTATATAGTGTTGGCAAAGCGGGAACGCAATTTCTAGAGGAACCCAGAACCCCAACCATCAAATCTACACCAGGGTTGGGGGGGCCTCAGGCCCAGGGGCCAAATGTGGACCTGCAGGCATCTCCCAAAATACATTTTGGGGTGCGGGGTGTGAAAATGCCTCAGCCCCTAGGAGTTGGCGCCTTTGGAGCAGCTGTTTGGGAAAGGTGCCGAGAGTTCTTAAAAAGCCCCTATTCCCCCTCACAGAGCTACAATTCCCAGTTACCTGGGAAGACAGATATGCTTGTTAAGCCACTCTGGGAAATGTAGCTTTCTTAAGGGACTAAGGGATTCCTAACAGCACTCAACAAACTGCAGCACCCAACATTTCTTTGGGGGAAGCCAGAGGGGCACCATAGTGCTTTAAATGTCTGGTGTGGATGTGCCTAGGCCAAATGCCGCCTATAGGCCCCGGACCCCCATTATAAATGGATATTTTTCCAAGATACCTTTGCAACACTATCATTCCTACAGCTGGCCTGGAATAATTTTAATTCCTGAGGCAACAACCCAAAGGGATCTGGTTTCTCACACACCACCGGCCTGGCATTGGCCATTCAGGCCTACCTCACAACTACCAGCCAGCCCTAGAGTTGCTACGCTTTCTTCCAAGATATTAAAGACCAGTGGGAGACTAGGGTTCAAATCCCCACTGGGCCATGAAGCTGACTGTTTGAGCTTGGGGGCCACCAGCCACTGCCTCTTTGCCTAATCTACCCCACAGGGTTGTTGTTGTTGTGGGGAGGGGGAGAATCATGTACTCCACCTCGATTTCCTTGGGGGAAGGAGGGATATAAATGCAACTAAACAAATAAATATGCCCTTGTACTTTCTTTTGTTTACTTTGGCAGGCAAATGGGAGAGCAAAAAGGAGGAAGGGGAGGCTCCCCCCCCCCTTTTAAGTGCACTCCCTCCATTGCCGCCTTAGTTACTGATTAAACTTTGAAGAATTTTGGCAAAAGTGGGCTCTGTCTCCAGCGGCCGACGCCTGAGCGTCTGGATGGGCAGACAAGGGGAACAGCATAGAGCCTCTGCATTGTTTGTGCAACGTTAATGGGGGGCATTAAAAGGGGAGACGGGTAAGACAGCAAAAAGAAACACCAATTTAGATGGCACCTGCAGATACCTCAGAGGGGATGACATAGCAGGTGGGGAGAGCGGCCCAGAAATGGGCCACATTCACACCACACACGATACCTCTTTTAAGCAGTCATGGTTTCCCCCGGGAGCTGTAGTTTGGTAAGGGAACAGAGCTACAATTCCCAGAGTGGTTTAACAATTCCCAGAGTGGGAACTATAGCTCTGAGGGGGGATAGGAAATAGCAATGGAGTGAGTTTGGATCCACTGTCAGAGCCTATAACCTGTCAGTTTGCATTTCTTAGTGCAGAAAGTATTGATCTGATGTGTAGAGATCTTTCCTATTCTAATTAATTCAAGAGGGTTCTGGGAGCTTCTCTGTGAGAAAGAAACAAGCAGAAGGTTCATGATGTTTGGGTTATTCCTTCAGAGAAGCTGAGTACAGCTGGTTTAAACTGGTTCTCTTATCTCTTCTGTCAAGGTCATGCTGACTATAATAGTAAGGGCAGAAGGAGCCCGGGTTTCTCTTTCTACCTCTCTTCCTTCTGATGTGGTGCTCTGCACGTAGTATGCTTAGTGTTAAGGTTTAGACTTATTGTAAGTTATTGTAAGTTAGTTAAGTCTGCTGCAATTGGATTTCTAATGGGCAGTGCCAATCCTGAATGTATTGGATTTGTGACCATTACGCTCATTTGCATTCAGTAGCAGTAAAGCTCTGCTGGACAAAATATTCATTGTCTTTGGTCTATTTTTGGGAACCCTGCAACATGTTTAAGTTGTTACTCTGCTAACTATACACTGGAATCTGCTCTGGATCAATACTGAGTAGAATTTCATGACATGACCCTCTCTCCGTAGCTCCAAGGGTCTAAAATTCCCATGGGTAGACCATTTATTTGAAGTTGTAAAAATATTTATACCTGTAACTCATCTCTATTTGACTGTGCTTTAAAATGAAATAATATGCGAAGAAAAGCTGGAATTTCAGTTTTGCAAAATAAGCAACTTTGTATAATTTACATCCTATTGCATACGGGCCGTAGCTCAGTGGTAGAACACCTGCCCTGCCTGGAGAAGGCCCCAACTTCAATCCACAGCATCTTCAGGTAGGGCTAGAAGAGACTCCTGCCTCAGACCTTGGACAGCTGCTGCCAGTCAGTGTAGGCAATACTGAGTAAGAAAGGCCAATGGTCTTGACTCAGTAAAAGGCAGCATCCTATGTTCTTAAAATTCTGCAAATTAATTTTCTGTTTTGCACAAGGAATTCTGGAGGCTCGCCAAATCTCTAGCCTGAGCATGGTGCATTAATGGCTCATGAGTGTATATATTTTAATGAACAACTTTATTTCTGGTACTGCTGGCAGGGGCTGATGGGAGATGTAGTCCAAAACAGACTGGATCCTGGAGATAAAGGTCTGAGTTACATGTGAATTAAGAGTTTTGGAAGGTATTTAGACCAGGGAAGTGTCACAGAGACTTCTTCCCCCACTGCTAATGCCCCAGTCCAAATTGGAGACTCTCTGTGGCTGCTTTTAAGTTTTTAAAAGAACTCAGGTAACCTGATTATAGTACTAATTGCCTGAATGCTTAGCTTAGTATTTAGGCAGAGGAAGTGTAAAAACAGAGTGAAACAATGTACTGCTTTCAACTGGGACCAAAATATTTTAGTAACTAAACTTTAGGATGCCAGACAAGGAACGTGGCTTCATGATTTTAGCCTTCATCTAAGCATTTCTCCACTTGGGAAGATTTGGGATTGGGGGGTGCGGTCAGGTGAGTTGTTAGAAATAAAACATCTTTTGTTAACCCAGCCATAGTACCAAATCTGTACAGCAAAGAGATGCCCGTCATAAAGCCCTGCTCAAACATTCCTTTGGCTTTGATCTTGCACTTAAATGGCTTTCTAACCCAGCTGGGGTCAGATGTGATCATAGTTTTGGAGAAACTGTGTCTGCAACAAGGGCCTAGCAAGAGTGCACCTGTCGGAATGGCAAGGGTGAAGGTAGTGCCCAAGGCAGAACCTGTTGGGTCACCCCAAAAGTTGCAAATTCCCCAACAAGGAAAACAAGCCCATGACATTGCATAGACTGTACATTGCTTTATACATTTATTTATAACGACTGGAATTCCTAGGGCTGCATTTTAGGGCAAAGACCTCACAAGGCAGGATACCCAACCCAAACAGTTTTAATTAACTCACAACAATCACCAAATGATAACGCAAAAATGATTAAAGATAGTAGCATACTTGAGTAGCCAACAGTTGCAGGGGGAAAGGTCAGGTGGGCCAAAGCGCAGAATGAACTCAGGCTTGCAAGAAAGGTTAAAAATGAAACTATAACTGCATATATCTAAACCAGCCTTCCCCAGCGTGGTGCCCTGCTGACTGGGGGTGATGGGAGTTGTAATCCAAAACAGCTGGAAGGCAACACGTTTGAAAGGGCTGGTCTAAACACTTGGGCAACTGCTCACCCCCTTACGATACTGACACCTCCCCTGTCTCCATGGAACGTTGCCCTTGCCTCTTCTCTCCCCCCCCCTCCTTTTTTCGCCACAGTCAAAAAAATTAAAAGTGTAGACTCCTTGGGGCAGAGTGTTAGCCTTTCTGAATGAAGCACCACATATAAACCATACATTTAAAGTGCTATGATACCACTTTAAACCATCATGGCTTCCCTCCATTCCCTTCCCAGAGCTACAATTCCTAGAGTGGTTTAATAATCAACCCCTCTTTCCCAGGGAACTCTGGAAATTGTAGCTCTTTGAGAGGAGTAGGGGTCTCCACACAACTCTCAGCAACCTTAACATACTACAGCTCCCAGAGTTCTTTGGGGGATGCCATGACTATTCAAAGGGCTATGATACTGCTTTAAATGTAGGGCATGAACATGCCTAGAGCTACAATTCCCAGCACACTTAACGAACTACAGCTCCCAGAAATTGCTAGTGGGGGAGCCATGACTTGTTTTAAAGAGGTATGAGACCACTTTAAATGTAGTGTGGGTGTGGCCATGGATGGATACAATAGTTGCATCTTCCAGGAGACCTGAACCACCCAACTCCACCCCACCCCACCCCCCAGCTTCAGGAGGAAGCCTGTTCTAGGGCCCAAATAATTCATCTCTGCTCACCTGCTGTACTGCTCTCCTCGCCAGTGCCTTCCACAGAGAACAAGGATAAGTTGTGGGCAGCTGCCCGTGGGATGGCTCAGGGTAGAAAAGGAAGCAGGATGATCTCAGCTTCTTTCCTGTTTCCACAGTCAGCTGGTGGGAACTGCCCTTTTCTATCCCTTTATCTCCTGCACCATCAGCACTAAATCCTCCAGAAGGTCAGGGAGCCCCACGGTTCAGATATGGAGGAGGAGGACCATGGCAGCCAGCAGGGAAGACATCTTCTCGAGGAGAGAACCTCTTGGTACTATTATTTCAGGTTCTCTTGGCTGTAAGGAAACTTAAAGGAGGAAGGAAGACGGGCAGAAAGCGGCTCTTGGCTGCCCCACCGTTGGCCTCCTTCGGCCTGCTTCAGCCACTGCCCTCCTGATAGTCCACTTCCCCTCCAAGTCCCTCTTCTCAAAATCCACGTCTTCGTTTCTCCACTTCCTCCACAATCCTGGCCCTGGTTCTGAGAATTAAGAAAGGAGAGGTGAGCTTGCCATTATTCTTCTTCTTCTTCTTCTTCTTCTTATTATTTTGTCGTATTTCTATCCCACCTCTTTCTCCGACCAGCTCAGAGTGACGTCCATGATTCTCCCCATCTCATTTAATCCTCACAACAACAAGAACAACCCTGGAAGGTAGGTTAGGCTGAGAGGCAATGATTGGCCCATGGTCACCACCCAGTGAGCTTCATGACCGAGTGCGGGTTTGAACCCTCGTCTCCCAGGTCCTAGTCAAATAATCTAACCACTGGTGAGTGTGCGTGTGTGTGTTGAGAGGGGTCCAACTGGGAGCACATTGGGGGCTCCAAGTTAAGGCAAGCTTGGCATGTTGCTCCCAGGAGATCAGAATAGGGCTTCTTTAGTTAAACTGTGGAACTCCCTCCCACAGGAGACAGTGATGACCACCAACTTGGATGGCTTTAAGAGAGGACTAGACAAATTCATGAAGACGAATGGTTTAGCAATAACTCTGTAAGGGGAATATGGGTCTCCTAGGGGACTCTTGGCACCCTTAACAAGCTATATCACCCAAGATTCTTTGGGGGAAAGCCACGACTGTTCAAAGTGACACCTTAAATGTATGGTGTGAAGGTTTATCTGTGAGGGACAAACTACAGTTCCCAGGATGCTTTGCTTCAGATGATTGGGATGTACACAGCGAGGCAGAGAGCCCATGAGCAAGCAGATTGCAGTGCCAGAGAGGGGAAGCAGGTCCAGGAGGGCTCTCCTCAGTGGGTGCCCTGCTGGAGGGTGGCCCGTGGGCAGGGGCCCCATCATGCTGACTCCCGGCACCAGCTCTGTAGAGAAAAGGTGTTCTGGAAGAGAGGAGGGGCGCCTGATAAGAAAGCAAAAAAAACCCTAGTTAATCATTTTGCATTCCAGAATTGTGTGTTATCCTTTCTTTTAATAATGAAGTATGAGGTCAGAAGGCAGGGGTGATCTCAGCACTGAGGAGAGGGGAAAGGGAGTCAACTCTGACCACTTTTGGAGGAAGCGCTTCCATGGGAACCTCAGCAAGTGTACATAACAAAGCGGAGCCATGCTGCCAGGCTGGGCACCTGGAGAAGGGAATGGCAGGCAGAGAGGAAGGGAGAGCCAGTATATCCCTCTGGATCTCTCTCTGCAATGGGGGAGGGGGAACCTTGCTTGGGGAAGGAAAAGCAAGCCATGAGAGCTCGTCCACACCTTGCTTGTGCCGTGCCTAAAATGCACAGGTCTGAGAGGTTTTCCGCTTGTCTTGTGTTTTCTAAGCGGGGGTACAAGAGTTTTTTTTGTTTGCCCTGTACTGCACACCCATCATAGAGTGACTATTCCAGCACCCGTAACGAACTATGGTTCCTATCATTCTTTGTGGGGAAATTGTGCGCTTCAAACATGCTTTGAATTAGTGGTGTGTACACAGGCTTAGGACACTTTAAATGTGGAATCGCAAAGATCTGGGAAGCGGCTGAATCCCTCCTGCAAAATACAGTCTAGAGGTGCCCGCTGATGTTATGCGCTTTTTAAGCTTTGCATTTATTTATTGTTTTGTTCTTTGTATGGAAATCTAAAACCGAACAACAATACTGGATTGGCTAACACTTCTTTATCAACTTAAACCATCTCAAAAATAGCTATTGTGTTATTAAATTAGTAAAACACTCACAAACTTCTGGAGTCATTTCGATTGTACACGGATCCATTTTCCCACATGCACTTAAACTTGGATGGGGTGGGGTGGGGCTTTACATAGGATGATTTAAGTGGATTTAAATCACCCACAAAGCAAATCGAGTCAGAGATCTTACTAGGGAGGGGGCCTGTCCTGAATGAGTGTGAACAGGCAGGTGTGCCTCTGAACACCTAAAAAGTGCATTTTCCTACAAGTGTACAATTGCCAGTCCCCAAACATCTGGGGTTTCATGGGGGCTTATTTCCCAAGAAGTGTGCATCAGGTACGGACCCCATGTGAAAAGAACTAGGCTTCTAAAATGTGAGGGCAAAACCTCTAAAATGTGGAGCCAGTGCAGCATAGAGTATTGAACTAGGACCAGGGAGTCCTGGGTTCAAATCCCTGGCCACAAAGCTTGTTAGAGGACTCCTCACAGGGTTGCTGACCGGATCACAGAGGAAAGGGATGGAATCACACTGTCCTTACAGAAAGGGCAGGATGGCAACATATTAAAATAGATAAAGTAATGATTGTCCACCGACCTAACAAATTTGCAAGGGCCTGTTAAGCTCATGCTGAGGCAAAGAAAATCCAATCAGGAGTTTAACAACAACAAAAACAGCCAAGAAGCGAACACAGTTTTAAGATTGTTCCAAGCTGAACTCATGATTCTTGGTCAGTCGCTTTACATTTCTATCATTCCTTTGTAGCAAAAGCCATACACGATAACGGGCTATTTTAATTCTCCATCCAACCAACCAACCAACCAACAAGACTTCCTTCCATGCCTTTCCTGCTACTTCCAGGCTTTTCAAAATCGCTTTGAGACATTCGGCTGCTTTCAGGCCAGAGTTGTCCTCAAAATATCTCATCACTGAAATGCTATTTTAGTCTCTGTATGAAAATTTAAGAGACACCCTTCAAGATTTGCATTTTAGAGTAAGAATTGCCAGTCCTGGGAGAGAAGGGAAAGTCACACTTATTGTGTGTCTACCCAAGCTGCTAACCTGGACTTGCCTCCTGATTGGACAGGGACACTCCTCAGGGTGGTGACTCATACAGAGACCTGATAAGTAGTCATAGGGTCATCTGAAGCCACTTCACAGCAAGTCAAGCCATTGGGTCAATCTAGCTCAGTACTCTGAGTGGCAACAGCTTTCCAAGGCTTCAGGCAGGAGTCTGTCCCATCCCTACCTGGAGATGCTGCTGGCGATTGAACCTGGAACCTTCTGCACACAAAGCATGTGTCCTACCACTCAGCCACAAACTTTCACCTGCTCCCTGTCTTCTGTGACGGCAGAGGAGGCCAAATCAGGAGTCACTGAATGACCCACATATTCCCGGTGCACAAAGACACAGAATTATCCATCCAGCGAAGGCTGATTGGGAGATCAGCAACTCACATGGAGATGCAGCAGGCAGACTCCCCCCTGAAGGTGGGCATCCAGCAGCTTCTCGTGACTTTAACTCATTGGCAACTCTTTCTGAGACCGGTGGCTGGGAACTGCTGGGTTAAGGACCTCCAGTAAAAAGAGAACCACGGCAAGAGTATCATCCTTGAGGGTCTTGGAAGGAAACCACAACAGCAGAACTGGTTTCAAACGGTTGGCGCTCGCCCTAATAATGACAACTAGGCATGCCCCAAAGGCAGGAGTGGGGCATAAAATGATAAGCAAAGCCCAGCTCCATCACAGCCCGGCACCCTTTTTAGAAAGTGGCCAGCCAGGTGCCTCTCAGGAGCCTGCAAGCTTCTGGAACTCAGCAACTGAAACTTGGGAGAAATATTGCCTCTGATCCTGGAGAGTAATTGAGATATTTGCCACAGGGGGAAAGAATTACCCTTGGTGTGTGTGTGTGTTTATGGTATATCAGAGGGACTGTAAATCCCAAATCATCGGAGCCGCACACTGCCTGGGCTTGAGAAAATCTAATGGAGTCCCTTCCAGATCTATAATTCTATTCTTCTAATGGGACACGTTGATCACCAACGATCAGACGCAATGGTCCCTGAGCTTTCATTAGCCTTCCAGACAAATTCAACGCAACAAGGAAAGAATTAAGAAACCAACAGCAGGTCTGACCAAACAAGCCCACCCATCTCCTGCAAGAGGTAGGGATGGTCAAGAAATCTGTGTTACAATACAAAAAAGGGGGGCAGAGGGAGGGGGAAGAGAAATGTGCCAGGCAAGAGGAGGAAAAGTACATAATAAAACTCTCACTTCTGCCGGAATGTAAATAACTCTTGAAGCCTAGGCTCAAGGAATGTCAAAAGAAAGAACAAAAATATTGAAAGAGGATGGTGAGTGGAATTCAGAGATAAGGAAGGAGAAAGCCTTAGAATCACAGAATTGTAGAGTCGGAAGGGACCCTGAGGGTCATCTAGTCCAACCCCCTGCAATGCAGGACTCACGGCTAAAGAATATCTGACAGAAGGCCATCCAACACCTGGTTAAAAACCTTCACTGAAGGACACATTTCAAAAGAGTCCAATTCCACTGCTGAACAGCTCTTATAAATTGTTGTGACTCACCCTGGAAGGGTGGATAAATAAAATAAAATTATCATCAGGGTGTGTTTTTTTTAGTTTCCAGGCTCATAGGCTGCTTTTACTCATTGTTTGTGGGGCTTGGTTCACTGCCTTGAGCTACCTACACTCCTGACTTGTGGCAGCTTGATATGCTAGCTGCGTCTGTATTGTGCTTGGATGCAGGAAATCAAGGTTCGAGAAATGACTTGATTGGTCCTGGGTGGTCATAATTTCCCAACCTAGCCTACCTCACAGGGTTGTTGTGCCAGGTTAAAACACTGCTCGATAGAATCAAGCAACTGTTTCCTGTTTATACCCTGGATAACGTAGGCGTAATCTAGATTGCAAGGGAGGTGCCCCACAAGTCCAGGAGGCCAGATGCAACTATGCTAGTTATTTGTGGCACACCACCGGCCAGAAAAGGAGGGAATAAAACTAGCTCTCTTCCAGCTTGTTTCCTCCTTTGCAGGATTCTAACGCTACAGGTGACAAGGCAAGAATTTGCAAGGCTGGCTTAGAACGGAAAGATAAGCAGCCAGGCAGAAACTCTGCCCCTCCATTGCTTCACACACAACGGATCCATGTGTAAGAGAGAGTTACTCCCTGACACTGCAATTGCCGTTGAACGCTGATGCATCATGCCTGAAAAATCTCAAATCAAAACACTGGCAGGATTAATGGAAGCCAGGCCTTGCAGATAACGGACGGCAGAGGAGGAAGACTCCAGCATTCACCACTCCTTGCCCCAGATCGCTGAAGCATTCTTCACCTACTCCCTTGCGACACCAACGCATAATGCCACCGCCATGTTCATCACCCTGCTTGTTTATGACGGCTGGAGTGTGCCGTTTGGGATCTGTGCCCTGCAACTAAAATCTTTGCCCTGTTAACCCCCCCTCCTCACAAGAGGAGGCTAATGTGAGGGTCATAAAGCAGGTAGACTGCAAGGGCTCAACGCCCCCCTCCCCCAAAGAAAGCACACCTTGAGAAAACTGTCTGGGTTTGGCTGGAGGCATAGCATACAGGAGAACATAGGAAGCGCCCTTATGCTGAGTCAGACCATTGGTCCATCTAGCTCAATACTGTCTGCACTGACCGGCAGCAGCTCTCCAGGGTGTTAGGCAGGACTCCCCTCCAACCGTACCTGGAGATGCTGGGGCTTGAACCTAGCAACCTTCTGCGTGCAAAGCAAATGCTCTACCAATGAGCTACGACTCCTCAGTTTTTGGAGGCTATTTGCATTGTTACCAGAGTAAAAAGGAGCAGGAAACCAAGAGGCTTTTTGCATCACCAGGGTCACACCATTCAAACCCGCAGCGGCAAGAGCTGCATTAACTGAGAACAGGCCACTGATGCGCAACAGGAATCACAGCCCCTTATTACCCTGCTTTATCTCCTGCCCGTCCTCTTTCAGTTGTGTCTCAACATGGCGCCTGTGGGTGCAGTGGTACCCTTGAAGTCCAGTCCAGCATCCATGAAGCCTCTGAGTCATGAGATGGTGGAAAGGGCTACTTTTTCCTTCCTTTAAAAAGCATCCAGAGCTGAAGGAGGAAGTGGGGAAGAGTGACTCTCTTTCCCACTTCCTCTTTCAGCTCTATGGGCTTTTCATGGCTCAGATGAATGCTACTAGATGTTGTTGTTGTTGTTGTTTAGTTGTTTAGTCGTGTCCGACTCTTCGTGACCCCATGGACCAGAGCACGCCAGGCACTCCTGTCTTCCACTGCCTCCCGCAGTTTGGTCAAACTCATGCCGGTAGCTTCGAGAACACTGTCCAACCATCTCATCCTCTGTCGTCCCCTTCTCCTTGTGCCGTCAATGGACCCCTTCATGGATCACTGCCTTGCTGTGGCAAAGGGGCTTGAATAACTCAGAGAAGCTATGAGCTTTGCCGTGCGGGGCCACCCAAGATGGACAGGTCACAGTGGAGAGTTTTGACCAAATATGATCCACCTGGAGCAGGAACCGACAAGCCACTCCAGTATCCATGCCAAGAAAACTCCATGGACAATGCTACTGGATGCTACTGGCCAAATCCCATGGAAAAGTGACAAGTGTGTGTGTGTGTGTGTGTCCATTTCCTATCCTTCTGTTTTTCAGGGAGAGGTTAATCTAGGGGAGAGAAGTGACAGGAGGGGGCACCCACACCCAAAATACAATGCTGCCAACATACCTGAAAAGCTAGCAACCCCTGGCTTAGATCCTAACCTCCTTAGGTCACAGGGCACAGGTTTCACTTCACTTTTAGTTTGTGCTATGCCGACTTTCTACATTGCTATACACAAGGCAGTTTACAAGATTCAAACAGCAACTGGTCTTCAGAAGCATTGCTGCCTCTGATCGTGGAGGCAGAGCATAGCCATTGTGGCCAGCAGCCGCTGACAGCTCCCTCCTCCACAAATTTGTCCAATTCTCTTTTAAAGCCAACCAAGTTGTTGGCCATCGATGCCTCCTGTGGAAGAGAGTTCCACAGTTTAACTTTGTATCGCATGAGGAAGGGCTTTCTTTTATCCTTCCTGAATCTTCCAACAAACCCTCCCCACTTTTCTCCTATGATAATACTGCGGTAAAATACTAATAAAGAACGTATTGATCCATTTAAATGTTGCCTTTACTACTGTGCCAGTCTTTTAATTGTTTTATTATTGCTGAACGTGCAAACAGAGTGAAGTGCTGACCTACTTTACAGGGGCGGCCCCATCTTTGAAGGCCCGCCCAGTCCAAGAGTGGTTTAAAATAAAGGCCAAGAACCGCAAGAAGTGGAGAGCGGTAGCCCTGGCATTGCCCATATAGAGGTGGCAGCACCTGGATGGCAAACTGAGCAGCCAGGCAGGCCCCAGACTTCTTCCCCTCCTGAGATTTATTATAGTCCTGTTTAAGTTTGCCTATGTACATCAGTATATGCAGTATATGCAGATTTTAAGAACAAATCTCTCCTCTTTGTTTTTATGGACAATGCCAAAACAATGCCACACTATCTATCACACTGCTTTATACAGAGCCAGGCTATGGGCCCATCTCGTCCAAAATTTTCTCCTAGGTACAAAAAGGTATTTCCCATCACTGGCTATCCAACCCCTTTAATTTAAGGTTGTCATGTTTCAGAAAGTGAAAATCCAGACACAGCTTTTGAGGGGGGCAAAGCTTTTTTTCTTTTTTTTTGCCAAAGTTTTTCTTGCAAAAGAAGTTTTTGAGCTATTTTCCTGGAGATTTCAGTGATTTCTGCCTGGACACTGTTTGCGGCTATGTCCGGGAAATTCTGGACATATGGCAACCCTATGTCAATTGGCAGTGCCTGAATTCAACCTGGGGACTTGCTTCATGCAAGACAGGTGATATGATAGCCGCCATCAGATATCTGCTGTCCCATGGAAGAAGAAGTGAGTTTGCGTTCTGCTACTTCAGAGGGAAGAACTCAAACCAATGGATTCAAATTAGAAGAAACGAAATTTTGACTAAACATGAGGAAGAATGTTATGGTGGCAGGAGCTTTTCAACAGTGGAACAGACTCCCTCGGGAGGTGGTGGACTCTCCCTCATTGGAGGTTTTCAAACAGAGGTTGGATGACCAGTCTGTCAGAGATTCTTTAGCTGCGATTCTTGCATTGCAGGGGGTTGGACTAGATGACCCTCAGACCCCTTTCCAGTTCTACAATTCTCTGATTCTAAAACAGATGGTATGGCTCCCTCTCCAATAGGAAACTGTACTCATTTCAGCGCCAGCTAAGAACGTTTTTGTTTAGACAAGCCTAAACAAAAGTTTAGTTTAAATCTGTTTTTGGCCTCTTGCTATTTTAGCTTTTTGGAGGTTTTGTGTTGTATTTGTTAAATTTTTCTTATTGATAATTTTATGGGCAGTTTTTTGTAAACCACTTCGAGTTTTTTGGGGTTATTTTTACAATCAAGCAGTATATAATTTTTATGAAATAAATACATAAATATTGAACCTTACAAGTAAAATGAAGAGTGTCAAAAACATCGCCAATCATAATTGTGTGGCAACTCTAAATCTTTTGTCTTAAGACCTCTAGGAGCAGCGGATGTGGTTTTTAAAAAAGCCCCATCCTTGGAGGCAACATGGAGGTGGTTATTCCTAAGGATCATTCAAGGAGAATGCAAAAAATTCACCAGGGGGCGAACCCCACAGGAAAGTGGACCCACTTAGCTGTGGAGAACAAGGACCTCAGTTGCCCAAGCAACCAGATTTCCATTTCTAAAGGTCTTTCGCAGGGAAACATTTCCCCCCCATTAGTAAGCAAATGAGGTCCAGATTCAAATCAGAAGAGAAGCATTAACCTCAAATGTTCCCAAGTGTGATTTGCTGTGAGGGCTGCTCTTCTGCCCTCAGCTTATGCCCACACAACAGAGTAAAACCATTCACCAGAGGAGCCACAAAATGGTGTAAAGTGGTGCCCTGACCTCAGCCTTGCTTTTTGATTCAAAACTGGAAATCCTCAAGAAGGGAACCCCAGTGCTCTAAATTTGCACCCCCAGGATTATCTTCAAGCAACAGCTAATCTAATGTGTGCACAGCCCATAAAATAAAAAATTAAAATGAAAGGCCAATATCTCTCATAGGTCAATATCTCTTAACACCGGAAGAGCCAAACCTTCAGTTTAAACAGAACTCTCCAGCAGGGCAGAATTTTAAAATGGCAAACCGTAGCAGAGGCAACTGGAAAACCCCATCCTAAGGGAGGAAGACAGAAGTGCCTGGCGTGCTCTGGTCCATGGGGTCACGAAGAGTCGGACACGACTAAACGACTAAACAACAACAAGGGAGGAAACGCTGAAATATTTGCCTGGGGTAGGGGAAGAGGAGATGAGGGTAGGCTTGCCTTCAACTACCTAGAGACCTGGGTCGTGCAAAAGGTGGAGCAGACCTGCTCTCTGTTGATCCAGAAGCCGGGAGGAGACCCAGTGGGCGGAAATTGCCGGGAAGCAGATTTCAGATCAACCTGAGGAAAAGATTCCTAACCGCAAAAGCTACTTGGCATTGGGAGTTTCTCTGGTGACTACGTGGGTGGGGCGCCTGTGGAACACCCTCCATGACAAGGATATAAATAACTATATAGCTTTTAGAAGACACCTGAAGGCAGCCTTGTATAGGGAAGGTTTTTTTTTAATGTTTGATGCTTTACGGTGTTTTTATATTTTGCTGGAAGCCTCCCAGGGTGGCATATAAATAAAAAAAATAGTATTAATAGTAAAGTAAAGTAAAGGTAAAGGACCCCTGGACGGTTAAGTCCAGTCAAAGCCGACTATGGGGTTGCGGTGCTCATCTCACTTTCAGGCTGAGGGAGCCAGCGTTTTTCCACAGACAGCTTTCTGGGTCATGTGGCCAGCATGACTAAACTGCTTCGGGCGCAAAGGGGCACCGTGACAGAAGCCAGAGCGCACGGAAACACCATTTACATTCCCATCGCAGCGGTACCTATTTATCTACTTGCAGTGGTGTGCTTTCAAACTGCTAGGTTGGCAGGAGCTGGGACAGACCAACAGGAGCTCGCCCCATTGTGCGGATTGAAACAGCCAACCTTCTGATCGGCAAGCCCAAGAGGCTCAGTGATTTAAACCACAGTAGTAGTAGTAGTAGTAGTTGGAAATATGGCTGGATGGCTACCTGTCACTCACAGGATGCTGCAGTTGCAGCATATAGGAACTTAAGAGGAGCCTGCTGGGTCCGGCTAATAGACCATCTAGTACAACATCTGTTCTTATGGAATTGCAGACATGGAAGGGACTCTCGGGGTCATCTAGTCCAACCCCCTGCAATGCAGGAATCACGGCTAAAGAATCCCCTAACAGATGGCCATCCAACCTCTGGTTAGAAACCTCCAATGTAGGAGAGAGCCCTCCACCTTCCAAGAGAGTCTGTCAAACAGCTCTTGCCATCAGAAAGTTCTTCCTAACTTCTAGCTGGAATCTCCTTTCCTGTCATTTGAATCCATTGTTCACGTCCTACCCCCTGGAGCAGCAGAAAACAAGCTTGCTCCATCTTTCATGTGACTTTTATTAACTGCCATGTTTGAATTAATTTCTCCTTGTTCATTTTTCAAGGGTGACTGTCTCAAATGTCCTTACGTTCATTCTGGAATTTGTACACCACTTGCGAGAGCGACTGAGTTATGTAAAGCAGCACAGAAGTCTTAAAATGAACCGATGGAATCAAGCCTGATTCTTTAGGCTTGTCTCGTATCAAATACCCTAAAGCTTTCCTATTTCTCTCCCCACCACCACCACCACCTGCCTTGGGGAAAGAAAGCAGATTATCTTCAGCATCAGTGTGGAGGATAGTAGAGGGTGCCCCTTAGCATGTGCAGAGTGCATTTCCCTCCACAGCAAGCTGGCATATCCATGATACCACTCTGTGGCTCTCCAAGGAGGCATCAGCTTATTTCCAAAAGCCAACAGGATGCAAACTCCGCTTCACAGTCCCAAGACACAGGGTAAAGTTTAGAGAGGAAGTAACTATATGAAAATCTTGAAGACGGGAGAACAGCTCAGAAGGAAGCTTTTTAAGAAACCACAACAAACCTCTGACAACAACAAATCAGGAACATTGCCAAAGAACCAGTTTAAAAAAATAATAATCACAGACCCACAAACCAACATAAAATCTTTCCAAACTCATATTCAGGTACTGGCTACCTCAGTCTCACAATACATGAACCTACATCTCTCATTAGAGAATGAAGGCACAGCTCACTCTGTGAAAAGAACTCTGCCCATGCTCATAGAGACACAACCATCCTTTTCCACATGCTCTAGGGCTAAGCCTTGAAAGAGAGTCACGACTGAAGCAAACCCCCGCGAAGCCGTCACCAAAAAGACCTCTGGGCACGTGCAGAGTGCCTTTGCTACAACCAGCCCTGCGTGGCTGATCTTAAGGAGCAAAAGCTTCCAATCCAGGGAGGTCAGAAGCTATAACTCCAGGCCGCCCTCAAACTTCTGGCATCTATGGGGTCCCACCCCCCAAATAATAATAATAATAATTAAACTTTGTTTTGCTGCCAAGAGAACAGGAGAGCATCACCACCTGAAATCCATTTATAATACGGGAGGGAGAAGGCAAAATCAAACAAACAAGCCCCTACAAAACGTACCTTTTGCAGAAGAGGGAGCAAGCCACTCTCCCATCAGCTCAATTCCTCAGTTTCCCCCAGTGTTGCTTCTGCCCTGGAGTTTCAGGGGGGTGGAAAAGGGTGAAATTAACCAGGATATCAGGTGCCCCTGGGCAGAACCAAAAGCCACCTTTTGCACCTCCTGGCTTGAGGGTTGCTTCCCAGCCTTTTCCCTTTCTTCCTCTCCTCTGCTCCAGCCTCCTCCTCTCCTGACACCAAATAAATCAGGAACAGCCGCCCTGCGTTTAGATCCTCCTCGGAGTTAACCCTTTGCCCTTCCTTCCGCCTGAGGGCTCTTTGCAGCCACAGCCCCGAGGGGGGAAACTTCTGCTACTCCTGCAAACAGGTTAGGGTCCATCTCTCTCTCCCACCCCCCCATGCCAGTTCTCCAGAGTTTTATATGCGCCCCAGGACCTGCCAATGAGATGGGAAGGCAGAAGAAAGAGGTCCTCTCTGAGCTGGAGAAACAGAGGCACTCATAACTTAAAGGGGACAGCGCACAAATCATGTGTACCTTAGAGAGGAGAGAGAGAGATGGAGGAGGGTCGTCTTGAGCTAACACAACCCAAGAAATCCAAATCAATCTTCATCTCAAATGGGGAGAACCTATTGTTTCTATTACCACCCAGTTTGCTCCAATGTATGCGCCTTAGGGGCAGATAGGGGCAGAGACCAGATATTTTTTCCGTTTTCATTCGTCTAAATAACCTTATGTATGTAAATAATAACTAATATTTCATCATCATAAACATATTTGTGGCCTAATTTGTGTAGTTCGTTTACCCTATTTTATAGTCCTTGTGGGTCTTCCAATTAGCTATTTATTTTTTAAAAAGGAACGAAGAATAAAGTGTACAGTATTTGAACATGCACCTTTCCTCTTGAAAGGAAACAAGAGGCTGTTATTAGCATCTATTAGGCTAAGCTGCCGCCCTTCCTCCAGACCTCCCATCTGCATATGCACAACACGTGTGCCTTTAAAAAAAAAATAAATATGTACTTTGCATTCCCTTTTTTGTTGTTTTGTGTTATGATCCTTAGGTGAAGGGTGATTATACAAATTTAATAATTTACTGACGATTTGCTAATTATTCTATGCAGTTTATGTTGTATTTGCAGTATCCTATAATTATCATACAGAATCATATATAGTGGTACCTCGGGTTAAGTACTTAATTCCATTCCGGAGGTCCGTTCTTAACCTGAAACTGTTCTTAACCTGAAGCACCACTTTAGCTAATGGGGCCTCCTGCCGCTGCCGCACCGCCGGAGCACAATTTCTGTTCTCATCCTGAAGCAAAGTTCTTAACCTGAAGCACTATTTCTGAGTTAGTGGAGTCTGTAACCTGAAGCGTATGTAACCTGAAGCGTATGTAACCTGAAGTACCACTGTAATTGTGAAGTTGGAAGGGACCACATGAGTACTCTAGTCCTACCCCCTGGAATGCAGTATTTTTTTGCCCAAGGTGGGGCTCAAAACCAAGACCCTGAGATGAAGAATCTCACCAGCTGAGCTATCCCAGAGATTATGTTATTGTTATTTATTGTTTGTAAGCTGCTTTGCAATTCACATGAATGAAAAGCAGCATAGAAATATAATGAATCCCCCTGAGCACATGCAGATTGCCTCTCCTTTTTTTTAAAAAAAAAGTTTTTTTAAAAAACGGGTGTGAGAACAGAGTTCTTCAAGGTACATGCAGAGTGTTGTTCCTGCGTGTTTACCCTTTGGCACAGGTCTAAGCATACACTGTTGAATGTATACTGAGAGGCAGTGTGATGTAGTGGTTAGAGCGTCAGACTATGACCTGGGAGAGACCAGGATTCAAATCCCCACTGGACCATGAAGCTCACTGGAGGTGACCCTGAGCTCAGACATTGCCTCTCAGCCCAGTGTACCTCACAGGGTTATTGTGGGAATTCAATGAAGAGGGGGGGAGAGAACCATGTACGCCACACCTTGAGCTCCTTGGAGAAAAAAAGGTGGGATATAAATGCAATAATTAATAAATGAATAAACAATACCTTGAAAACACACTTTCCACCCCTCCAGGCTCTTAGAATCACAGAACTGTAGAGTTGGAAGGGACCATGGCGGTCATCTAGTCCAACCCCTTGCAATGAGGAATCTTTCACCCAACGTGGGACTCAAACCCTCAACCCTGTACCAGCTGAGCTATCGCAGGTCTTTGTTGACTATTGGGCCTGGAGGGTGAAATTCTGGCTGGTCCAGTGAAACTCTGACTTACCACTCACCTTGAAATCATGCTCAGAGGCACTGTCTTTCTATTCATGTTTAGATGTGTGTGTGTTTTTGCCACAGAGGGAGGAGGAGAAAAGGCTTCTGGGTGGGCCAAAGCAGTAAATAATAATAATAAACCACCAATAATCCCGGCTGGCTAGGAGGAGGTATCCTGGAAGAGAAAGAGAGAGAGAGAGAGAGAGAGAGAGAGAGAGAGGAGGGAGGATGGCAAAGTCAGTGTGATAACAGAGGTGAGGCAAGGAACACACAAACACACGTCACCTTAAGCCCTCACCTTGTGCACACAGACACACAAGGCACAGACAGCAGCCCTCCTGCAAACATTCACACGCATGGGTGGAGCCTCTCCCGGCTGCTTCTGGGCACTCTTAAACCCTTGAATGTTGCAGAGGAAATAGAGAGAAAATTCTCATACAATACTAAAACTTTAGGTCACCCAGACTGAACTGACAGTAGATTCAGGAAACAAACACATAATTAGCCAATGGAACTCCCTGCCACAAGATTAGGTGATGGCCAGAGGCTTCAGAAGGGGTGTGTATCATCAGAGTTCCCAGGCAAGAAGGGCTGATTGTTAAACCACTCTGGGAGTTGTAGCACTGGGAGGGGACTGGGGGGGTGTCTCCTAACAAGCACCCTTAACGAACTACACTTCCCAGAATTCTTTGGGGGTAAGCTGCAACTGTTTAAAGCGGTATCGTAGTGGGAATGTGGCCTTTACGATCCAGAGTGACTGCGGTTTCCCAACCAAATACAGTGGTACCTCGGGTTACATACGCTTCAGGTTACATACGCTTCAGGTTACAGACTCCACTAACCCAGAAATAGTGCTTCAGGTTAAGAACTTTGCTTCAGGATGAGAACAGAAATCGTGCTCCGGCAGCGCAGCAGCAGCAGCAGGCCCCATTAGCTAAAGTGGTGCTTCAGGTTAAGTACAGTTTCAGGTTAAGAACAGACCTCCAGAACGAATTAAGTTCTTAACCCGAGGTACCACTGTAATTCAAACAAAAACATGTCTCTTCTAGGAGACTTTGCAAGCAAATGATAAATTATACCATTTAATTTCACTCACCCCCCCTGAAAAAAAACTAGATTAAAGGAAAACAAAGCTATGTATCACAACTAAAACAGAGCAGTAAGAGTGAAACTAGCATACAAAAACGTTCTACTGTGCACCGATGAAATTTATTGCAAAGAAAGGTAAATATGTGGAGAAACCTGCACTGAAATTTTCATGAGGGCTTTAAAGAAACCTTTCAAACTGATACAGAAACATGTCAAATTTAAGATGAGTAAAAATGAGAAATGGAGAGAAAGTTTTTTCTATCTCAATGGACGTAGCGAGGGGGGGCGGGGGGAGCTGCTCCCTGCAAATCAGTACAAATCAATACAAATCTTAGGTTCTGCGCCCCCCCCCAAAAAATCCTGGCTACACCCATGCCTGTCTCCTCTTTGCTACTTGCTGCCCTTTTAAACACAGACTCTCTTGCAGTTTGGAAAGCAAACAGGGGTGGCTCCTCTTGAGGAGACCTTTGTGCAGCATGGCAAGGATGGCCAAATGCCAACCTCTCGGCCGCAGCCTTCCAAGGAAGGCTCCGCTGTGCTCAGGATCCTGTTTGCGGGGAGGGGGTGCCTCTGAGGACGTGCAAAGCGCTGCCTCTCGCCACCGCTCAACATCCACAACTGTCCTCCAGTGCAGACCACGGGGCCCTCTGAGCATGTGCCGAGTGTGACATTGATCTGCTCCTACGGGTGGAATCCAGGAAAAGCAAGTTGGAACTGCACCCCTTTTTTAAAAAAAGAAAGGTCTTAGCTATGACTGACTTCAGCCCTGTTTCAATTAGCACGGTGTGTGGCCTGATCCTGCTCATGTCAGCCTCACTGAGTTCAACAGACTCCCCAAGAAGTCTCGATTGTCAGGTCTCTTCCTGCGTTGGGCTCATGGAAGTCTGGATATGTTGAGGTCTGGGGGATCACCTGAATTTTCTCCACAACACACTAGGAAGACAGAGTGGCGTAGTGGTTAGAGCATGGGTCGACAAACTAAGGCCTGGGGGCTGGATCCGGCCCAATCGCCTTCTAAATCCGGCCCGCGGACAGTCCAGGAATCAGTGTGTCCTTTTATTTAAAATGCATCTCTGGGTTATTTGTGGGGTCTGCCTGGTGTTTATACATGAGTAGAATGTGTGTTTTTATTTAAAATGCCTCTCTGGGTTATTTGTGGGGCATAGGAATTTGTTCATTCCCCCCCCCAAAAAAAAGTCCGGCCCCCCCACAAGGTCTGAGGGACAGTGGACCGGCCTCCTGCTGAAAAAGTTTGCTGACCCCTGGGTTAGAGTGTCAGACTAGGACCTGGGAGGCCTTGGTTCAAATCCCTTGAGCGCCAGTCACTGCCTCTTGGCCTAGCCTACCTCACAGGGATGTTGTGGGGATTAAATGAGGCAGGGGGAGAACCATTCACACTTCCCCACACCCCTTGAGCTTCTTGGAGGAAAGTTAGAATATAAATGTTGTAGTGTAATAGTAACGACAATAATAACAAATAATATTTTCAAAACACACACAGGGGAGTGGACTCCTTTGACAGCAGATCAACCTTACCATTTCTCACTTCATTAGGAAACTATTTCAGCTGCAAGACCCACAAGATTTTTGAAGCCGAGCTCTTTATCCTCGTCTGTATTGGATTTGAAATTGTTTTTCTTTTCCTTTTTCTAAATACGAAAGTGGATTTCCAATTGTTTATAATATATTGC